GGCAGCAATGGCGTCGCCGGGCGGGGAGTCCCGTGGTGACAGGGCTCTTGTCTGCCGTTCTAACTCCTGGTTTAAACATTAAAGGTAGCTAATGCCCATTAAACACCCGGTGACATCCAACAAGCTCTTGTTCCCGAGGAGAAATTACCTCCTCGTCTGTTTTCCTTGTCAGCGCGTGCAGTAGGCTACATGGCACTGCTTGGGTCAGACTAGGGCTCTTAATTATCTTAACCTGGTTAATGACATGTGATTAAAAGCTGTATGTGATGTGAGGCATGCGCTGCTTTAAAGACCTCAGCATTTAACTCTCCGCTCTTCTATAAAATGCGGGCTAACTGGCTCAAAACAATTAAAATGACTGATGTGGCTCAGGGCAGGCTCCTTTACAAAAAACGTGCCTTAGTAGGTGCTATTTTTAGCTTTTTATTTTTTAATAACGCCGCTGTGTACTTGTGCTGCCACAGGGCAGAGCAGGAGTGTGTTAGCCCGCCAGCCGCGCACCGTCCCCATGCCACTCCCTGTGTTTTACCGAAGTCCTGGCAGTGCCACGTTCCCCTTTGTGTGAGGCAGAAAGCAGGTGGCCTGTTGAAGCCTGTGTCGTAGGTGTGGGCAGAGCTGTGCCGCAGCCTCTGCCCTGCTCCAGCGTGCCAGATGTGTGCCATCAGACCAGCTCCCGGCCTGGCAGTGGCTGGACTGAGGTGATAGAGAGGAGCTGCAGCGCAGCGCTGGAGCATTGCTGCTTGGCATGGCCCTCTTGTCCCACCTGAAGTACTTGTGCTCAGCAGAGGCCTTCCACCGTCACTTGGCATACCTCGCGACGTGAGGTCTGGCAGTGTTACTTTCAAGGGGGATGGTGGTGTGGTACATCTTGCTCAAACGCGCTTGAGATACTGTCCCCTGACAGTCTAAATACCCCAAGGCTGATAAAGGTTAGGTGGAGGTAGAAAGGTGAGGAGTCTTGCCCAAGATACGTAATTACCCTGGTGGCAGAACCAGGAAGAGTATGTTTTGAGTTTTCTAGACCATTCTGCTTGACATACAGGTTGAGATGATGACATCCCTAATATGATAATGGTAGGACATACACTTTCAGCTGAACACACACTTTCTGCCTTAGAAGAACGAAACCATTAATGCTCATTGTTGATACCTCCAGCCAGCTGGTGGTTGAAGTCCCCAGGGGAGTTTTGCAGCAAAACTGGAGAGTACCTCCCAGTCCACAGTGGTGCGAAGTCATATTCGTTAGCAGCTGAAGCTGGAAGAGCCCACCAGAGGCATTCACAGAGTGAATGTGTTTCTATGCCCTGTCTGCCATAGCACATACTATTCCTGATTACAGACACAGAAACTACGTCCCTTTCTGCAGGGTTGAAAACAGACTTTCATGTAAAAAGCAGGTTATTAACTTAGCATACTTGCAATGTTTTTCACATTGGCTGCTTTATTGTTCTGTTTACGTCTTTTTTCCCCCCAGTTACAGGAATGTACTTGAAGTGATTGATTTCCACTATGTTCTCACAGTGCTCGCGGGATCTATTAAAGATTGCAAATCTTCATCTCCAGAGTCTGAATTTAAATCCGCGTTTACAAAACCACAGAAGAGCTTTCAGCAAGTCACTGCCTGCACATCGAAGGAAAGTAGTTGTTACAGGTATTGGCTTAGTGTCCCCTCTTGGAGTGGGGACTCAGTTTGTGTGGAAGCGCCTTCTCCAAGGAGACAGTGGGATTGCATCTTTAGATGGGGAAGAGTATGCAGGCATCCCGTGTAAAGTGGCTGCTTGCGTGCCAAGGGGAAGCGAGGAGGGCCAATTCAGAGAAGAAAGCTTTGTGTCAAAGTCAGAGATCAAATCCATGAGTTCTGCTACTGTCATGGCCATCGGTGCAGCAGACCTAGCAATAAAGGACTCCGGCTGGTTTCCTCAGTCTGAAGAGGATCACTTAAGTACTGGTGTGGCAATCGGGATGGGAATGGTTCCCCTGGAAGAGATTTCTGATACAGCTGCTTTGTTTAAAACAAAGGGTTATAACAAGGTCAGCCCGTTCTTTGTCCCAAAGATTTTAGTCAATATGGCAGCAGGCCAGATCAGCATCAAATACCAACTCAAAGGGCCGAATCATGCTGTGTCAACTGCTTGTACCACAGGCGCACATGCGGTTGGAGACTCCTTTAGATTTATTGCTGCTGGTGACGCTGATGTCATGTTGGCTGGAGGGACTGAGGCTTGCATCAGTCCCTTGTCCTTGGCTGGATTTGCAAGAGCTCGGGCCCTCAGCACGAGTTTTAACTCAAGCCCTAAAATGGCCTGTCGACCGTTTGATTCGCAGAGAGAAGGGTTTGTAATGGGAGAGGGTGCTGCTGTGCTGGTCTTGGAAGAGTATGAACACGCTGTACAAAGAGGTGCTAGGATCTATGCAGAAGTTTTAGGTTATGGACTGTCTGGTGATGCTTGCCACATAACAGCACCTAATGCAGAGGGAGATGGTGCGTTCAGGTAAGAGCTGTATGTTGATTATGGTGACTACTTCATGTGTTAATTATACTGGGTACATGTGTTTCTGTTACTGTATGCTTTCCCTAGAGAAATGCTGTTCAATCTTGAGTTAATATTCCAAAGCCTGAAAACTTAATATGAAAAACGAAAGAGCTTCTGGTACAGTTTTGCCCCAGTTTTCTTTTCTCAGTAACAAGGTGAAGGCCAGTTCTTGCTAGAATTAGCCTTTTTGCATAGAGTTACAAAAACTTTATGTGAAAGTATTTTGCATTTTCTGCGTACAGCTGTTCACACAAAAAAGTCTCAATGGAAACCTCATTTTTAAGATTTTTGTAGTATGATAGAACCTCTTCAGGTTCTTCTTCACCCTTTGTCCATAGAGAAGAGAGACCCCACTGCAAAAGCAGCTCACGTCATTTGTTGTGGTCTGAAAGAGGAACAGCATTCCTTTAGAAATCCCAAATGATGAAAGCTGTGGAGCGGTTGGAGGATCTATGTTGTTAGAATAATTACCGTACGTGTAATTAACATTAATTGTGGCTATTCTTATTCAGAAGAGACTTTGACTCTTCATAGAGAAAGTCATTAGATTGCAGCCTGTGCTGCAATCATGTTTAAATTCTTCATTCTGATACAGCTGAGAGTGTTGGTGGAGGGGCATAGCAGAAATACACTTTAGCACTGTTCAATGAGGTGGTAAAGCTTCATTGTTAAAAAATGATTCACAAGTAGATGATATTCATCTGATGGTTATCATTGACTTCATCAAATTGTCAGTTAAATTACATGTGTAAGTATATGTACTATTTGTGAGCTTTGCGTAGGCTGAATACTATTGCTGACACTGGAATCTTTAGTAAAGATTTAGTTTGCATTATTCTGAATGCATGTGAATATTTAATAACAAAATTCAATATATCACTGCACAAATAGATCAAAATTCTGCATGGTACTGTAAAGCTGTGTTTGCATCTTTATTGGGTTAACAGATTTTTCAAGAAGTGAAACATACCAGGTTTCCCTTGATGCTATTTGATTCATATTTAATTGTTCTGCAGACTTAGGTGTGATTTGAGTAATCAGGAGTGTCTTATCTCAGATTTTCAGACTTGTTTACCCTTGAGATGATATGGCAATATGTTGTAACAATTTTTGTATATTTTGTGATTGCAGTAGCATATAAATCAAATTCACGGTGGGAAGTACTTGAAAGTTAATCTTGGTATCTCCAAAATATTGAGGCTTTCCACCCTTGCGATGAGATAATACATTTTAATGCAGTCTTCAAACCAATATTTTGTTACCGCAGTGGTATATGGATTAAATCTGAAATGTAGACGCTTCTCATGCTTTTCTGTATGAATTTTATGTGCCACGTCAAAAAATTTCAGGGGAATGTATTTTTTGTCATCTTCTAATAACTACTTCATTTGGAGACTAATACATATGTAGGGATAAACCTGCAGGAAAGGAGAGGCAAAGCCAGACTCAGAAGTGTGGATATAAAGTGTGTTCTACACAATTAATCTGTTATTTCCTCAAGTCAATACGTTCCTTGCAGCTGACATTTTTAACTAAATTAATGTATATTTCCCTCATGGTTGATCAGTAATCTTTTTTGCCTGGATGTTGGCATACTGTCTAGTGACAGTGAGCATAGCTGGACTCCAACGTAAGGTAAGCTGGATGCTTCTGAGAGTAGAAGGCTGTACTGGAGACATTTAAATTTGTCCAGCAGCCTGTGCTATCTTTTTTTTTTGAGCTTCCTTTTATTTACTTATTTTTCATGTATTTCAAAAGAGTCAGTGCTCCTTTGCTCAGAAACACTTTGTTACGTGTGTGCAAGGAGAGATGTGTGATTCATCTGCTTCTTCCTGTGGGAAATCTGTGAGAAAATCACAGTATGGAGCTGTACTGATCCTTCTGTGGTTTTCATAAAAAAGTGTGTTTTATAGAGACAGTCACAGTCCACAGGTCATCACGAGTTGGAATGGAACTGCTATGTCAGGGTAAAAGAGTATGACTTTCAGTAAATTTCATTTTGTATATAGGAATTTGTGTTATCTCCTTGACATCTTCTAGCGTCTGGAAACATGCAAAAGAAGCTCACAAGGAGGATGAGTGCAGAATTTTTCTTTCCTTTGCCAATATTTTTGTTTGATAGAGCAATTTTCATTGCTAATTCTCCAATACTATAAATATGAGGGGAAATAGAATGTAAAAACTGGGGAATATTCTTTTCATTTACAATGGTAAGGAGAATTCTTGGACCATTGTACTGAATGTTACATTAGTGCATCAGCTACCCTAGAGGAATTTCGGTAGAGGGAACCTAATTTTTGTAATAATTTCAGATAGTTATTTCTCTCTCAAATGTTTTCAAATTTTGTATTGAAAAGGGTGTTTGATATATTAAGATAGTCTGTAGAGGTTGTTTGTTATATCTTCTTTCTTTCTTCTGGTATTTTCCTCAACTGTGGAATCAAACCAGTAAAATTTTAGCAGCAAGTCTGATTTTATAGTGGGTCTCACCACCACTGTCTTTCCAGTGTGGCAAAATGTAGATTCGAGTGTGTTTAGCTGGATGAATCCATCTCTTGTTGTTTACATCTCTGGTAAACTGCCGTGCGGATTTTCACATTTGATAAACATTTTAAAACACCCTATACAGTTGCTTTTGGTTTGTACATGTGTGTTAGTAACTAAAATACAAAGGGAAATTCAGCATTCTTTTTTTTTTTTTTTTTTAATTTTCCCCTTAGGTGTATGTCTGCAGCAATAAAAAATGCTGGGATCAAACCTGAAGACATAACTTATGTCAATGCACATGCAACTTCTACACCTCTAGGAGATGCTGCTGAGAATCGAGCAATCAAGAGACTTTTTAAAGATCACTCGCATAACATTGCAGTTTCCTCAACTAAAGGAGCAACAGGACATCTCTTGGGGGCTGCAGGAGCTATTGAAGCAGCGTTTACTGCGCTGTCCTGTTACCATGGAATTTTGCCACCTACTCTAAACTTACAGAAAACAGAGGCAGAGTTTGATCTCAATTATGTTCCTTTAATAGCTCAGGAGTGGAAAACTGAAAAACGGCGTATAGCACTCACAAATTCATTTGGCTTTGGTGGTACTAATGCAACTTTGTGCTTTGCGGGTGTTTGACTTAACGCTGTGCGTGTTGTGAAAAATGTCAATGACAATGATTTTCTGTACTGCCACCCTTGGTGTGTACTGTGATCTTTTCTCAGCTTTGAGAATTGCTCACTTGATATGTAAGAACTTCACTCACCCTGGCATTTATATGAGTAATTCTTTTAGAAAGAAGGAATTTCTTTTGCTCATTTTAATAAAAATAAATAAAAGACCTATTCTTTGTGTGACAAAGAAGTTTTTGTTCTTGACTAGAAGAGGAAACACTGATCATTCTATGTTTTAACTTCATTGTAATAGGTTTTTCATATGCATGTGACAGAGAAATTGCTCAGAAACATTTATGCAAAAGGGAGGCTGCCTAACAAGTTAGGACTCCACAGTCAAGACTCGATGACTTCCTGTGTGATGATACAAGGTTTATGACTGAACTCCCCTTTGTTCCACTTATAATTCTGCCTTTTTCCTCATTGTAAGTTATTTCAAACGTCATAGACTTGTGCACATTTTTCCACACAGATGACATTCAGGAGGCAATAATATAGGAGTTTACGAGATTTCTAGTAGTGATTCATTTTCTTTTCAGCTTTATTCATTTCCATATATTGTATGACCTCATTAGCCATGGCATGGAGTGGTAACAGTGAAGTATGCATACAGCATGCCTATACATCTTCCACGTGGCAGAGGGGTAGAACTAGTAGGTGATAACCTGTTTTGTTCTGAAATTTTGGACAAGAATAGCAAGGTAGGTAGATACTCAAGTATGGTATTTGAGGATTTAAAAAATACTTACACAGAAAGGAAAAAGACTCTTGAACCCCCTGGTTGTTACACCAAAATGGAAAAATAGAAGTAGCCAAACTTTGAAAAACAAGGAATCTTTTAGCAAAGTTAAAAAACATGCAAGAAATAAATCTGTGTGTTGTGCTGAGGATGGGAAAGGGGAAGAAAGAGAAAAGGAAAATGAAGTTATACCTGAAGCTGATATATTGGTGGTGGTTTAGGTTGTCTTTTGCAAAGAACAAGTAAAGGACATTGGCTGTTCCTTCTGGCACCAGTCAGCATCTTAGTCTAGTAGTGCCTCAATCAATACTGCAGATGTGATTGAAGTTGGATGGCCCTGTTGGTGGGTTTGTTAAAAGACTTTTCAACAGTTTTCTTTTCGAAAATGTCAATCTTAGCCTTTGGCCCGTGTAAGTGGAGGCAGAGTAGCTCACTGGATTTAAAGTAAAGGACATACGAAGTAGCTATACTATAAGTAAATTTCATTCTGGAAAGAGATTACTAATGGGCTATCATGAGGCTTAGCAGTACCCTAAAACCTCATTATACAAATGGTCTGAATGATGGTATGGAACAGCATAATTTTTGCATTTGCTGTCTTTACTGAATAGAAAGTTAAAGAGAATGATGAGAAAAATGCAGTTGGAGAATGATTAAGACTCTTTCAGAAGGTGAGCTTGTACAGAACAATGCAGTCCAAAATAGATTAATGAATAGTAAGCCTGGAAGTAAAATAATATATTACCAAAGGGAAAATGTAAGAGCATACAGACTAGAGAAAGTATGGGAATTTGCTGTCGGGAAAAATACCTACAAACCTCTTAGCTTGTGATAATGAATAGTAGCAGTACAATGAATGAGGATATGGATTGCATGCAGTACAAAAGGCAAAATATATAATTCAACATTACTCTCTGCAAATTATATGCGAAAAGGAATTAATTTAAAGAAGTCAGCCTCCAGGAGAGAGCTAGCAGCAGGATCATCAGTTTGGAGGAAATCATCCAGCGAGTTTCTTCTGGAGATAATATTTTTTCAGGTAGTTGTAATCCAGGGTGGAATATGGGAAGAATAGATAGTGCTGCATTATTGTGGACCTGAAGTACAGTCTAAACTCACCCAATCTTGTTACATAGCTGCAGACCTGTAATTAATATTGTGACAGAGAGATATGCTTTCCTTTCTCTCTGATAGCAGAGATCGTGGCCCCAGGAGTGTTGGATGCAGACTCTTGGGTACCAACCATGAAAAGACAGATTATACTGTCACACAGAAAAATAAAACAAACTGAAATGATTAAAAGATCTTTCTCCTCACTTCAGCTCATTGCAATTTAATCATCTGCTGCAGGTAACCTTTAAACCATGAAAGCTTTGTGACAATAGTTATTTTAGGTGTTTTGATTATGGATAATTTTAACAAGCCTAGATGCAGTAGAAAATAGTGTGCCTTGTAGGGAATTAGGATTTTCTAAAAAATGAACAGAGCCAAAGTTTAACCCTTGTCTATTAGAGTTTTGTTTGTATAGGTTTCATTTTTATGTACTTGTTTGGAGTCATCTCTTTTTTATCACATACCCCACTGAGCTGATCAGGGACTACTTACTGCTTTATTATGGTAGCTGCATACATATAAGGGAAATAGATCTTTCTCTGTTGCTAAACTATTAAGTGGGCAAATTGACCAACAAATTAAACCAGAATGCTTTCCCTTAAAATGCTCCCTTCATCTTAATAACAGAGAGATATAATGGTCCAGAGTTTGGATTTTAAAAGCTTAGTATTTAGACTCATAAGCTCGGAGTTACTTACAGTCTGATAAGCAAAGCCTGAAAATGCTGGTAGAGTGCTTATTTTGAAGCCTAATTCTGAGGTGGTGCAACACACTTGTCAGAGCCAAATGCTCCAGGCAGGATCACAGAGTGGACGAGGCTGGAAGGCACCTCTGGAGATCGCCTAGTCCAGCCACCTTGCTCAAAGCAGGGCCAGCTAGAGCAGGTTGCTCAGGGCTGTGTCCTGCTGGGTTTTCAGTGTGTCCAAGGGTGGAGACTCCACAACCTCTCTGGGCAACCTGTTCCAGTGCTTGGTCACCCTCCCTGTAAGAAGTTTCTTACATTTAAAAGGAATTTCCTCTGTTAAAATTTGTGCCTGTTGCCTCTTATCCTTTCACTGGTCACTACTGAGAAGAGTCTGGCTCCCTCTTCTTCATTCCCCTCATCAAGTATTTATACACATTGGTAAGATCCTCTGGAGCCTTCTGTCCTCCAGGCCGAACAGTAGTCCCAGCTCTGTCATCTCCTTATATGTCAGATAGTCCAGTTCCTTCACCATCTTTGTGGCTGTTCACTGAACTCGCTCCAGTATGCCCATGTTTCTCCTGTACTGGGGAGTCCCGAACTGTACCTAGCACTGCAGATGTGTCTTGCCAGTGCTGAGTATAGGAAAAGGATCATCTCTCACAACCTGCTGATGATGCTCTTTCTAATGCATCCTACAATGCTTTTGGCTGCCTTCTCTGCAAGGGCAGATGGTCCGTCACCACCAACCAGGTCTTTTTCTGCCAAGCTGCTTTCCAGCTGGTTAACCTGAGGGGGAAAGCTGCAAGGGTTATCTCTCCCCAGGTGCAGGACTCGGCATTTCCCTTTGTTGAACTCCATGAGGTATCTGTCAGGCCATTTCTCCAGCTTGTCCATGTCCCTCTGGATTGCAGCACACCCATCTGGTGTATCAACTGCTTCTGCCAGATTACTATCGTCAGCCAACTTGCTGAGGACTCTATCCCATTGTCTAAGTCTTTAATGAAGATGTTAAACAGTACTGGTCCCAGAATACATCTCTGAGGTACTCCACTAGTTCCTGGCCTCCAGCTGGACTTCATGTCACTGATCACAACCCTTTAAGTCTGGCAGTTCAGCCAGTTTTCAATCCACTTCACTCTCTACTTACCTAGTCCTTACTTCATCAGTTCGTCAATAAGGATGTTACGGGGAACTATGTCAAAAGCATTGAAACTGTGAGGCTTTTTAGCAATCCAACTGGTGTTAAATCTGTCTGAATATACATATTCCCTCAACAAAAAACTGCAGACTATGATTCCTGGCTGCTCCTGATAATTGCATCAGGTTTCCTTGTTGAAATGCGCATTGAGACTAGGAACACAAATGTCATTTGAGAAATCTCAGTCCCAGTTATTTACTCATATCGGTGAGGTGGAAGCCAGGTTAAAATAGATTATTTAAAATATTGTTTTGATTTGAATAAAAGATTTTTACTTAAACTAATATTTTTAGAAATAAATGCATTTAAATAAGAATTGGAATTATGACAACTTACATGAATTCATTTATTTACAAGAACCTAATAAAAAGTTGTGTTATAAAAAAATGCAAGCAGTATATGTTTGCTGAAATCTTACAAAAGCCAAGCCACTGCTCAGGGTTAATTACTGGCTGTCTGTAGAAACAATTTGTTAAAATCATATAATCATAGAATTGTTTTGGTCAGAAAAGACCAAGTCCAACTGTTCTCCTAGCACTGCCAAGTCCACCACTAAGCCATGTCCCTAAGTTAACCACAAGCACTGAACCCTATCACCACCATCATTAAGCTCTAGACAATGAAAACAGTCCCTAACATATAGAGCTGCCCCACCACCTCTCCTTCCTGCTTATCCCTTCTGAAGACTTTAGAGCCATCCATTGCAGCACTCCAGCTGTGCGAGAGATCCCACCATGTTTCTGTGATGGCAACTATATCATAGTTTTCCTGCTGCACAATGGCTTCCAGCTCCTCCTGTTTGTTGCCCGTGCTGCATGCATTGCTGTAGATGCACCTCAGTTGGGCTATTAATCCCACCATCTTTATGCAGGGAGAAGTCGTAATTCCTACCTGACCATTCTCAGGCACTTCGGTGGTTTCTAGCAAATCAATAACCCTGTGTCTTTGCCGCCACATGGATCTCCATCCTCTACCTCCACTGAGACAGCAGACGGAGGGGCCTCCCTAGCACACCATCCCTCAAATATTGGCATGCCGCCCTCAGGCTTATCTCTAGCGAGCCTGGTTTTATCCCTTTCCCACTTCAAATCTAGTTTATGATAAAATGATAAACCTCATTTCATTTTCAACTTCTACAGCTTGTTCTGCACAAGTGTAGAGAGAATATATTCCTCATTTCATTTTAGTCAGGTTAGTTAAGTTCCTTTTACATAAGTTTTTTTCTTAGGTATATAGCACAATTTTTACTAATGAAAGAATTTATAAAATAATGTCTTGCCAGTTCCTAAATGATTTCAAATTGAAGTTAAAGCTTGAGAGAAGTCCTGAGCAAAAGATTTTCTTTTCTGTAAAAATATGATTCATAGTTCTCTAATATGATAATAAAAAATAGGAATAAGTGTATACTAAACTGTAATTATTTCA